CCGCGGCTGGAGGGAGGGACGCCCGGCTTCCCGGGACGGCGGGTCGGGGCCAGGTCCTCCTGGGGATGGGGAGGAGGATCGATGCGGCCTCCTGGGCGCTGCCTTCCTCCGGGGTTCGGCCCCGCCGACACGCTCTCCCCGCCCCTGACCTCGACCCCCATCTCCCAGTTCCTGGGGGCGCTGTCAGGCCCCCGTGGGTTCCAGCTGCTGTCACTGCCGCAGAGCTTACCCCCCCACTTATTCTTGCCCCACTTCGCTGGAAACCTGTTTTCTGATCTCCCTCCCGGGGTTCTAGTTAGCCCCGCTCGGGTGCATGAAAGATGACCCTCCCCAGGGGCACTGTGACAAGAAGTGGGGACTAAGCAACCTGACCCAGGAGCTGGCTCCTGCCCTGCCCATGCCCCAGCCCCCAACCTGGAACCGGGGCGGAGATCTGTGACGGAGCCCAACAAGTCCCTGTGCCCTTGGGCCACTCCTTTCGATGACCTGACTCCTGTGCCCAGCAGCCCCCACCGCAAAAGCTTCCTTTGGCAGGTGCGTTGCCAAGCAGAAATGCCAGGAAACAGGAGTGATAGAAGCCCTAGAACCCAGGACCCAGTAGGCTTGGGATCATCCCGGGACCTGGAGACCACGGGGCGAGGGCTGTCACACGTACCCGGCAGGCTCTGGCCCTGTCTCGGAAAAGCAGAATGAGGATAGGAGCCCACTCCGTACTTGGCTGAGATTTTGCCAGCACTTCTACAGGTTGCTTGTCAGCAGCCAACAGAAGCTCACAATTGGCCAATCAAGGGAATCTGCTGTAGCAGCGGCAGGTGCAGAAAAGGATTTGAGACTAGTCTCCGGATATGTAGCAAGTTTAGCACCATTATCACTGCCCCCTAGGTCTTGAACTGCTAAACCTAAGGTCAGTGGTTCAAACTCACCAGCTGCTCTGTGGGAAAAGAATGAGGCAGTGTGCTCCAGCAAGGGTGCTGTCTTAGAACCCCTATCTGGGGTCTCTGTGAGTCAGAATGGCAGTGGGTGGGTTTTTATACCCTCTTGAGAGCACTTGAGTGTCCCATACGATAACGACAACAAGAATTCAGGGAATGGAATTTGGTACAGCCCCCGAGATGGAAACTGAAGAGAACCAACATGGAAATTTCCTTTTCCTGGTTTGTCAGGACTTTTCCTTTCTCATGAGCGTGTTCTGATAAGGAGACTTTTCCCAAACTGGGATTCAATCCCAGCTGCTCCAATAGGCCCTGGTATGTCGCTGGGCTTCTGAAGGGAAAGGGGGATTTGTTCTTCCTGTGTGTGGACGTAGAGTGCCCACCTCTTCTCTTTGTCAGGGAGAAATGTGAAAGGACAATGCTGACATTGGTCAGTTACCGATCCTGGCCACCAGGGTTCTTGCAAACACAATTGGGTGGGCCTCTGCTCAGGAGTGGACCCCCAGAGTGGACCGTGGTTCCGATTTGCTTTGGAAGCCTTTCTTTTTCACTGGCTCTTGGGGCTGAGGCATTGTTAAAGAACCACAGCAATATGCTGTAGCAAGGCTAGATGGGACTCTGCCATTTCAGAGACTTGGTTTTCTACCTTAAGTCAGGGAGGCCCCTATCTCAACACCTTGAAAGAAGAGCTCATAATCTCACCCCGACCCTATGAACACTCAAGGAGTACAGTTAAGAAAAACGCTTTAATCTGACCCAGATCTCTTCTTTGCCAACGAAAGCCCATTTCTTTGGTTGGATCCGTATATCGGAAACACCTCTCTTTGTATGTAGTGGTGGCATTGTTTATCAGTCTTCTCTAGCTAGGCAAGAGACAAGTGTGTCCGCTGCTTGCCACTTTGCCCCAGCAGCCTCCTTTCCCACCCCTTTCTTCACTCTGTTTCTTCCGCTGCATCCACCCCGGGTCTCCACCTCCTTCTTTAACACCGAGCATAGTGTTCTAATGCGCTCAGACTCAAGCCTGCCGGAGAGGCTCATGCCTGTGTCTCCAATCAGTTAGCCTCGCGGCTGCTACTTTTTCCACTTCTCACCCACACGCTTTACATTCTTATTTATTTCCCCCTACACATAAGCTCCTCACTGACCAATCATTTCAGTGGTCTGTTAAGGTGGCTCTGAAGTCTTATACCCGCCCTCCAAGATACTCGTCTTTCCACCACAGTTATTACCAGGTCTCATGTTTCTACATCAGGGACAGATGATGTGTCTGTTGAGGCGTCACCATTTGATTCAGCCTCCTAAGGGAAATGCAGGCTCTTTACACATATAACCCCTTGCTGGGGACGCCGACCTGTTGTCGTCATATTCATCTACACTAATTGATGAGAATGTGATTTGTGAGAGAAAACCTTACATGTGATTACGCCCATCTTTGTTCTGTGTAGATCTGTGTGTATGCCTGCCTGCCTGCCTTGTTTCCAGATTGGTAACCTTGCTGTATTTGCAGCAGCTGAAATGAAATGGATAGCTTTCTTCAATTTCCAGGGTGATTGTTTATCTTTCTGAGATGAACTTCCGCCAGCCTTCAGGGCGTCTCTTTTCTCCCATGAAGTACCCAAAAGAGGAGTTAGTGACTTTGCTATGTAATGCCTGCCAACTCCCGAGTTCCTTCAACAAGCCTGGCATCAGGCTCACTTGATGGGAACACACCACACTTTAAAATTCATCTTCCACGGAGCTCCTCCTATCCAGTTTCATCTTTCATCCCCGGGGCTATTCTCCATAACTCCCTTGAATGTCATGCCTTTCCATTTTCATGGGCACAGCTGATATGACTTTGTTCCAGGTCACAATTTGGGTTTGCAGCCAAAATGCTTTCAGAACAGACAGCAGCCCTGGGGGCCGGATGGGAGTCCATGAATGTCCAGCTGGATGGAGCAGAGCCCGGGGTGGAAAGGAGAAGGCAGGAAGCGGGGCTGTGGAGAACGGCTCCAGGGCCACTAGCACACTTGTGCTGTGAACTTGAAGAGGAGCCACAGTCTCTTCAGGAGAAGGGTGAGCCCCACAAAGGAGTCTCCTAATCTCTGTTCAAGGGATAGAGTTAGAAGTCCCCACGTTGCCGTGGATCAAACAATGTAACCGATACGAGGACAACCCGTTCTTCCTGACCCCTGGCCCCAGAAACAGAAAGAGCGCCAGGATTTTCTAAGCTGTGTGATACGGTTTCACTCAGCATCCAGCCTAACATTTGCTCCCTCTGTATGAGGCAAGTGCGCAGGTTAGCAGGCCCTGACTCTGGGAGATGGGGACGTGGCAGCAACACGGATTACTGTTGGAGAACACACTTAGTTAAATGAACATCCAGATGTATATCCAGATAATACACATTCGGACCTTCAGTTGGGTGGCATAAAAGCTCTACTAAAAGCCACCCAAGACCCTTTCAGAACGGCGAAAGTGAAAACCTCTTGATTCAAATCCCTTGTGGAAAGTTAGAAGGTAAAGACAATGGCCTTTTCCCATGAATTTCTTGAAGCCCCTTGTGTTTACCTTCGCCAGCTGGCTAAACAGGACCCCTAAGCCCCTCTTAAAAAACCCTGGGTCCTTGCTCACAAAGAAAGGATGGTTCCCTAATGGCGCTTCTTTCCTTCACCAGCTCAGGCAGCTCCTTGGGTCCCTGCCATTCCCCAGGAGGGGAGTCCCGGAGACTGGGAGATGGCCGCCGCCCTGCTTGCAGCTGGATCACAGGTTGGCTGTGCTTCCATTGGCCTCTCGCAGGGCCTCATCTCCACTGCCTGTCTAAACCTTTAGCATTGTCCCACACGTCTTTGTTATCTCACATGATCACCCAGGGTATGCTCAGCTAGGAACCAAACAGATTCTCTCCCTGTTTTGGGTAAAGTGACCTGAGCCAGGGAGAACGGAGGCAGAACTCGAAGAGGCAGTTCCTTGGGGATTAGGGTCTGTGAGTGGACGGCGGTGCCATCCACAAGGCCATTTTCAGAGCAATGCATTCCTTGTAAGAAAGAAATCTAGTAAGATTAGAAAAGGGGGCTTGAAGGAGTATTTGAGTAGGATCGGGTAGGTGATGGAGCACGGAAAGTGGAGAGAAGAGAAAGATATGAAGAGGGACAGGGAGAAAGTGGCTTGAGATTCAGGAGGTAATAGGAGAGCTATGGAAAGATGGTCATGAGAGCTGCACTCCCAGAGTACTTAGCACGTGTGCTGTTCTGAGTGCCTTCCACAGACTGTTTCATTTCACCCTGAGAGCTGCTCAGTTCTCCCGCTTTTACAGATGGGAAAACTGGGCCAGGGAGAGCTTAAGGCGCCTGTGTAAGGTCAGACTGCTAGAGTAAGGAGGGGTCGCTTGGCTCCTGAATCTGGCTTCCTAGACCCCATACTATGCTGCCTCAAAAGATAAGGGGGAACGTTTTTTTTCTCTGTATCATTTTTTTGCTGACAGAAAGGTGAAGGTCACGTAGAGGAAAGGTGGAGACGGTTCAGACTTTCTGCAATAAACAGAGTGCGGCGGATGAGAAGAGACTGGGCAGGCACTGCATGCCACCAGAGGGCGCTATGAGCTAGTAGTGCCTCTGAGTGCACACGGCCCCACATAGGAAACGCCTGGACAGACATTCCTTTCACTCCCTCTCCCAAGATCTACTTCCATCCTCTTATCATTTCCCCATTCCCAGAACTGTGTGCCCTCCCCAGGGACCTCTGGGTAATTAACTCCTTTCCTCCACCCTTTCCTGCCTGCTCCCTCTACTGCCTCAGCCCTGCATCCTGAGGTCACAATTTCCTTAGGGAACAGCTGCTGACAGAAGATGCCACATTTTGTTTCAGGGCCTGGTAACCATTAAGGATGTGTCGCTGTGCTTCTCTCAGGAGGAGTGGCGGAGCCTGGACCCCTCTCAGACAGACTTTTATGGAGAATATGTCATGCAGGAAAACTGTGGGATAGTGGTTTCTCTGAGTAAGCATGACCTGCCCCAGCCACTGAAAGATTGTCCTCTGGGAGGATGGAGCCATCTGCTCCAGGGCTCTTGTTGGATGGTGTCTGTCTAGGGCTCTTTCCGGGGCAGCGATTCTAGGCTCACATCAGAGGAAGAACATTGGGGCTAGTCCAAAAAGAGTGGCAGTGAGGAGTCTTAAAAAAAAAA